AGAAGCCCTTTTCGAAACAGAAAAACGGATATAGCAATGGCTGGAGGTATGTCATGTTTTATGCTTCCGCTTAATCGATTTAAATGTGTTAATTAGGTTGATAACATGTTTAGATTGTATATTCTGACTTACATCACTACCACTAGAGAAAGAACAGGCGCTTTAGCCTCAGCCGGCGCTGACGAAAAATCAATAGAACACTTTTCTCCTACTATTATCGCTTCTCCGCTGGGCCAGAATGTGTCGTATGTTTGTAGCGTGTGCGGCAACTCCTTTTCGTCATACCAAGCACTCGGCGGCCATAAAACCAGCCACCGTGATCGGTCTCAATTCGCCCCCACTACTGCAATCACCAACACCTCTAGTATCTCTCATCTCAACCCAAGCGGTAGGATTCACAAATGCAACGTCTGTAACAAGACTTTTACCACTGGCCAAGCTTTGGGTGGCCACATGCGGAAGCACTATGAAGACATGACAAATGCCGGCAAGAAACCCAGTGTGATCACATCCAAAGGCGGCGCCTCCAGCCAATGCAACAGCGATGGGCCCACCACCGACGACTTCAACTTGAACCTGCCGTGTTACCGGAGACTTACTCAGATTTTACGCTTTACTCTGGCAAGAGAATCCAGGTTCTTGTTGATCAACAGAAAGTAGAAAGTCCTATTCCTTTCAAGAAACAGCGTTTGGATGAATGAATTGTATTATAGAAAATTGATCCAGAAAATTTATGTATTTTCTGTAGAAAATTATTCTTAGGGTTCAATTGTATTTATTCGTTTAATCAAAAGAAATTTAGATATATACATATTTGATAATTAGATTTTTGTTGATTTGTTCTCGTGTTCTTGAATTTTAGTCCATGTGTTTGGATGCAACATGGAATAGAATTAAACACTATAATGAACATAATTATATTTATTTATTTTTCATCTTCAATTTTGTCAAAGAACGTTCAATTTTCCCTTCCAAGCCAAGGTAATGATATGACAAAATTTAATAGTTGAGATTTAATTGGTGTATAAGTTTGCAAAGTTTAAATCATTAATTTTATTGTCCATGATGCTTATTTGAGAAATCCCCACCATGTCAAAAATATGGTTTTGTCATTGGAGTTGGAATTAAATAATTAAGCATGAGAACTGAGTTAATGTGTGTGTTACTTTTATTTTGCAAAAATGATCGAGCAAGTTCAAGTTGACCTAATAGAAATTTAGATTGTATTTGATTAGTAAAAAGTGATATTTTCTAAAATGTATGTTTAAAAAAGTCCATAATATTTTATTTTATTTTTTGTTAAAATGATATTATTTGAAAAAAAAATGTTGTCTAAAAAGTAGGGACACGTACACCTCCTTCCAACCTCAGGGCTTGGGGCCGCCAATTTTTCAATTTGACTCCCTAGAATCTTATTTTGAGCGTTAAACGAACTTTGAAATGTTTTCTACCTCCTTGGTGTGTAGATACATGTTATTGCGTGGCAGTTCGGCCGGGAACACGTCACTTGGATTCTGCAAATTGGTTTCCAATGATATATTATGTGCATTGCAAATTGGTTTCCAATGACATATTATGTGCATTGCAAGGGTGGATTCGAGAACGTATTTTTTTTTAAAAAAAAAAAGTCGGGCTACTATGTAAAAATACATGGCAAAAATTAAATTGGCTGGAGATCGGATTGAGTTGTACTGTCCAACCCGCCTACATGTATCTTCCCACTCTAGTTTTGCCATGTGTTCTGTATTTGGTTACTTCTTCGATTACTGATTGTCACACATATCATTATGTTTCGCCTCGAGGCCTCGTGTTTGGTAATTTTAGCCCCTGAATGCCTCTATGTTAATCTCGAAAGGTGATATGGTCATGATTAACTTATGGGC